CAAGGGTCTCAACCATGACTTTTTAGAGAATGCAACTTTATCATGTCACCGATTCCGTTGGTTTTGTTAGTCCACTAACTACACCATCCTCCCCGACAATCTCAAAAGATTCCTCCCGGAATCTCCCTCCACCACTTTGCGTCAATCTCCATCCCCGCCCTTAGTGCTTGAAAGAAAGTCCCTCATACTATTTCGATGTATTTTTTTCCCTCTTCCTTTTCCCCTCTAAGACAAAAAAAATATTTAACAAGATTAACAGTTTATCCTCTTTCACCCTTTAATATCATCGATGTGTTAGATAGTCCGAAGTAAAGTGTCGAATATGTAGATGGCAATTAAATGCAATCATAGTACCCCGAGAAGATTCCCAGTTGGTAGAGAGATCAAACTATAAATATTTGCTTTTATGTTTTAACTCTTTCATTTCGTTATGTGAGAAGAATCCAATTACAGAAAAGGTGACGACAATTGAGAATGAATTTGTTTGTGGCTCCGATTGGCGCAACCAGCTTATGTGTATAATATGGCTTCTAGAATTTATACTAGTTGATCATTTTGTTGCTTGTTTATAGGACTGAGGATAATCTTTCCCTAGCAATGTCAGCTATGGTGAGCAATGAAGTCCGTGTGAGCTCATATATACTGAAACCTTCTCATCATCACACATGTGAGGAACTTAAATTTATTTGTCACAATCACCACTATTTTTTTTTAATTGCGTAACGCACCATATAGAGGCTTATGTGTTGTGCCAAGGCAAACAACTGTCATTTCGTCAAAACATACATTTTATATTTTTTGAACGAAATTGAAACTAAGTGATTTGGTCAAAAACAGGTCCAAATTTTTGGCTCATAAGGGTTCAGTGTTCTTAAGACGTTGGACCCCTAGATGTATGTGCACGTAACTCAGAACAGATTCATCTAGGGAGTTCAGGAGAGAAAAAAAATAGACTTGTTTTTTGCCAAAATACTATGTTTCAATTTCGTTCAAAAAATATAAAGTGTTTGTTTTAACGAAATGACAGTTAAATCGACAATTTATCCCCAATTTTTTCTACCTTTTTAAAATTTTGTACTACAATGAAGAGTTGTGTGTAAAAATGGTAATTACACACTTCTAATTATGTTTTCTTTTTGTTCTTGTTAATTTTGCATCATAAAACTTTATAGGTGTGTCTTTGTGAGTGAGTGTAAATTTAATGGTACGTCGATGAAGTTGCACATATATTTTGTTCAGTAATTTCGGTTACTTCTTTTCGTGTGGCAATATTGATAAAGCAATATTTTTTAATATTATTTTTTTTTCAGAAATTCACGCGTCGACAATGGGCGATGCAATGTAGGACTTTTTTTTTGCATTATGCAATTTAGGAGTGTTTCCGACTTTCTTGCTGCATTGCTTTGCTAATTCTCGCACTTGAACCCTGCTTCCCTGCGTGTGCATCTTCTTGCACACGTTCTCTCCTCGTTGTGCACATTCTTCTTGATGTCCGCACAATTCACCTTTTCATGCTTATTCTCTCTCTCTCTTTCTTTCTCCCAACCGGTGAATCTTATTGGCCATGCATCTTGTATTAATTCGTAGAGAGTGACCATGTCCTCCACACCACAATCATCCTATCACGCTGCTCATGAGGTTTTATCTTTTTTTTTTTTTTCCCTACTTCGGAGTTAGTGTGGTGGAGACGATCGGTTAAGTAGGTATCGAGTGTGAGTTTAAGCAAACGTTGTGACTGTCCAAACCCTATTGGGTGCATGAGAACAAATTGTCAACGCAATTTCTTACTATGCTTGTAAGAAACCTTTTTTTCAAGTGATCCACGAGAGAGAGAAAGTAAAATGTTTTTTTACTATTTCTCGAGTCTTTTTTTTTTTTTTTTCGTCTCCTCTTCCTCCTACTTTTGATCTTCTTCTTCTTGTTTTTTCCTCTCAATTTTCGATCTCTATCAATTTTGAGTTTCTTCTAATCGGAACAATATACAATATGAATGAATGAGTGTGATGGGCAGGATTAAACGATACAACTTATAGATCTATGTATGGAAAAATTGATCCTTGCACGATGATGATAGTGCCTTCTCCTTGATCCCTTTTGCACCCTCTCGTCTCTTAGTATGGATTGTTTCCAGCAATTCATTGTCATCAGCTCTCCATCACACCGATGCTCCTCTTTCAGCAACAACAATCCTCCTTCCTTCTCTTATAAGAGGGATCGACATAGGGTCTGCGGGTGAGACGTAAGATCAGTGACAACATGAATCGGCCACTCTTACATTTTTCTTGACGAAATTAACTGTTCGACATGAATCCATCAGAATTTCTAATTATTGACACTGATTTTCCTCGCTATTCCTTTCTCCTCGCTTATCAAGAGCTCATAGTAGGCCACAAACTCGGCTTTATGAGCTAGGTAGCACGGGTTATTTGGCTGAATTACCGGAGGGCAGGATCATCTGGAAATCCGGATGATTAAAAAAAAAAAAAAGTGATATTGTGCATTCAAAATACAATAGAACTATGTTCCTATTTCATGAAAAGCTTGATAAGGCATGAAAATGTTCAAATGGGGTAAGATAGAGAATAAAGGGTTTTAGAGGGGGGATACTTAATTCATTTTATAATGTTTTATCTAAATATTATTTTTATTTTTTATTTTATTTTTTATCTTTATATCTGTTGAGATATCAAAGATGACATCAAGCCAAAAGTTGTTCATATCATTGATATGAGCAAGATACTTTTTCTTCCAGATTATTTCAATTTTTTTTTAAAGGTTAAAAAAACGTATTTTGCGCATGACCGGATTTTTCATATCCTGATTTAATCCGGATTGAAAATTCCGAATAAAATTGGTTTGCCGGATATCTGGATTTGCTACCTAGGTTATTAGTGTAGGCATGAGTACTATTGGTACCGTGGATTCACTTATGGGCTGCGTAGCAACGTGGACTAGCCGGTAAGGAGCGCTTTGATTGAGGGGCTTCATCCCAAACTCCAAGCTTTGCAAACCTTGCAAGCGACATGTGGAAGAACCACGTGACCCCGCGTACACTCCAAAACCCTTCCGCTGCGGCGAAAGTCCACGGCGGCGCAGATTGTTGCACGAAATCGAATATGTGACCAATTGTTGCTAACTCGACTTTCTTCCTTTCCATCACATTTTTGTCTCACCACCAACACTTGTAAACATTGCACCTCTGCCCCTCCATCCCTCGCTTATATTCTGATTGTTACTGTCCGTTAGCACTTAGCAGGACCCGACACAGGAGATCTTAGTTCCGACCTGGGAAGTCGCGTTGGGCGTGAGGTTAGGCCATCATAATGTACCCCCAACCTGACATGCTCGCCAGGGCAACGATGGAGTGTTTGGTGTGCTATTGATGCCATGCAATTCAAAAAACCCTCCTCTTCTTGGTGGTGTGCATGCAGCACACCTTCGCCGATGTAGAAAATGATAGCCAGCTGCGTGCGCCATGTGCACTCGACGGTGGAGCCTAGCTGATCTGGGGCATGGTGGTACGGTGGTGTTTGGAAGAAGGTGATGGGGATTGGGGGAGTCCGGACCAAATCCTCTGTGGTGTCCTGCGATGCACTCGCACATGCGCCTTCCCCTGTCCGAGTTCAAGGTGAGCAAGGGGAGAGGCCATGTCGCATGTGTGACAGGTACCGACACATCATTGCAGGTCAGGGGGTTACCGGTCATGTCTCCTTCTCCGGGCCGCCCTACGGTGGCACCAGCAGCCGCTGGGGAAAAATTCCCGAGGAGTTGGAGTCGTCAGCGGCTGGCGGCTGATGAATAGAGGCTGCACCCCCACTCACACACTTCTACTCGCCCCGTTTATTTGTGAAAGAAGTGCTACCTTTCCTTAGCCCATTTGAGTTGGATGAAGCTGCCTGAAAGAAGTCTGCGGAGCATGAAGCCTAACTGTGCTAACGGGGCAATTGCCTTGAGATGTGGAACTGACCGGCCCCAGGGTTCGAACACAAGTCTGCATTTCAACAATTCGTGATGGGCGTACAAACTGATTATCGTCGTGGGACTGACCTGCCCCTACGTAGTAATTCCGTCGTCTGGAGTCGAACACACGTCTGAGTTTCGACAAATCATTGGTGTACCAACCCAGCTCCTACGGTAGGGCCCGCCGGTCCCCTATCCTTTCGATTATGCCGAACAGCCACCTTGAACCGTGGGAATCTGGAGCGAGAGGGGCGGTACTACCAAAGGCGCCTACTGTAAATACCGCCCGGAAATTCCCGCCCAAGAAAAGACGAGATGTCCGTCCGTCCGGGTTGTGGCGAGGTCGTCGAGCTGGAAAAACCGTCGAAAATCGCTTGCCCCCCCCTACTGCCTGGGATGCATCCGTTGGGGGAAATCGCGGAGGCATGTGCGGTGCCGTCGCCGTCGTCACGCTGTTGGTGTTTCTCTCTCATTTCCTCCCCCGCTTCCCCGGTGCCATCCACCCGCACCCGCTCGACTTGCGACCTTGTACCGTCTCCGTCTTACTTTTCTCAACCTGGGTGCCCTCTGTCTCACGCTGAGCGATCGCCAGTCCTCCTCCTTGCCGCTTGCGCAATTCTGCTCTTAGCTCAACCGTCCTTCGTCAGTGACCGGCTACTGTTCCTGCAGGTCATAACTACGATAGCCTCTCCCCCTCCCCTGCTCTTAACCTCGTGCTCTCCATTGCAGCAGTGTCTCAAAGCTTCTCTTCCCCGAACAACCTGTTCTACCATAGTTTCGGCGGACTGCTCTGTCTGGGTCAGCTGACTCAGGCACACGCTCGCGCGTACACAAAGAGAGAGAGAGAGAGAGAGAGAGAGAGAGAGAGAGAGAGAGAGAGAGAGAGAGAGAGAAAGAGAGAAGGAAAGAAGGAGCAAGAAGATGGTCCCCGTCCCCTGCTTTTAACCTCGTGCTTTCCATTGCAGCAGTGTCAAAGCTTCTCTTTCTGGAACAACCTGTTCTAGCATAGTTTCGGCGGACTGCTCTGTCTGGGTCAGCTGACTCAGGGACACGCTCGCCCGTACACAAAGAGAGAGAGAGAGAGAGAGAGAGAGAGAGAGAGAGAGAGAGAGAGAGAGAGAGAGAGAAGGAAGGAAGGAAGGAAGGAGCAAGAAGATGGTGCCGTTGTACGCGTGGGTTCGGGAGCGATGCCGGCGATCATCGAGACGAGCTTCTTGTTCTTCGGCTCCGCCAGAATCACCACTTCCTCCTCGAGTATGGCGGTTTACTTGGCATGCTTTGTTCGGAGTGAGCATCTTCTTCTTCATCATCAGCTTGGGAATCAACAAATGTGTCCATCACAAACCGAAGAAGCATTGCTCGCTGCCATGGTTGGGCGTCTTCTCCTTCGAGCCCCTTGGGGACAATCCTCTTCTTGGTCCATCTGGCCGCAGCCTGTCCCGCGTTGGCGCCTTGGATCCCCGTCATAACTCCAAGACTCACCAAGAGTTCCGTGTTTTTACCTGCTTGTACCTTCACTCCGGCGTCCTTCACCTTTGGGTCAATTTCCTTGTCGTGATGTTCATCGCTCCCCGCCTTGAGCACGAGTTCGGTACGGCGCGCATGATGGCCATCTACTTTGGCTCGGGCGTCGGCGGAGCTCTTTGGTCAGCGTTGCTTCTTGTCCCCGACAATGTGTCCGTTGGCGCCTCGTTTCCGACTTGCGGCCTCATTGCCATGACTCTCGTGGACATCCTGTACAACAAAGAACTGTACGTCAACAAGATTGCCGCCGCGGCCTCGCTTCTGCTTGCGGGGGTAGTAATGATATGCGTGGGACTTGTGCCTTTCGTCGATAACTGGGGCCATCTGGGGGGATTCGTCACAGGCTTCATTTTGTCGCTGCTCATTCTCTATCCTGTGAAGCCCCAGTCTCACCTCGACGTGGAGGATGGGTGCGCCTGCAAGAAACGCATGGACTGGGGCATTCGCCGCAAGCTGGAGCCGTACATGTACTACATCTGGATCGTCTCCGTGATGTTGATCACATTAGGGTTTCTTATGGCTTTCATCGCTCTTTTCTCGGCCGCTGACCAGATGAAGGACTGCACTTGGTGCCACAAAATGAATTGCTCTCCCAGCTCCCTGTGGACTTGTCCGACTCAGAAAATCTACACCGAGCCAGCTCGGCATCTTGTCTGCAAGGTCACTAAAGATTTGAACAACATGGGTACTGTGACATGCAAGAGCGGCAAGACCGTGGACATCGGCGACATTACCAAAATGTCGGCAGACGATCTGAAGACCCTGTGCAGGAGGTGCTGCGGTGGGCATTCTGACAGGTAGAGAGTTGACATTAGTTCAGTTCAGTTCAGTTCAGCTCAGCTCAGCTCCTCCAACAGCAGTCGTGGTCCCGTCCTTAGGATCAATAACATTTTTTTTCAGCATAGGTACGTGCTGCTACCGGTAGTAATTTTACTCCCAAGGTCTGGCTGGGTAGTAATTTCACTCCCAAGGTCTGGCTGGGGATGAAAAACTTTAGGATAGTCCTTACCTTTAGACTGAGCGACAATTTCCTTAGACTGAGCGACTGACCGACAGTTTCCGTGGTGGTCAAGATTCTATGTTGCTGTGGGAAGTGGTGTGCGTCGTCTCTTTGCCGTTGTCCTGAGGTGAGTGTAAAGTAGCTAGCATGACTGACCTCAACGAGCCTACGGTAGCTCTGTCGGTACACCCAGGAACAGTCGAAATACGGACCCGATTTTGAACCCCGATGCGAGCAGAGCTGCAGAGGAACGGATCTGAAGAAGAAAGTAGCACGACTATTGCCCGTAGCAGCGATTGTCAGAAGAGCTGCCAAGATTAGCGTGACCATTTGCTGCTATTCGGGATCGATGATCGACATCGTTGATGATGGATGCCATGCCATGTAATGCAATGCAAATGCAAATGCAAATGCAAATGCAATGCAATGCAAATGCAATGCAATGCAATGCAGATGCAATGCAATGCAAATGCAATGCAATGGAAGGCTACAGTGTTCTTATAAACTGCTACGCTATGTTGTTTGTTGGTCTATAAGTTATATCCTCTCCACCTTCGGCCATGCCGCGCACCAGTCTATCTCTGTGCTGAGAAGAATGAGGCGACTATAGGTTTATAGGTTGACCTATACCGAGTGTCAGGGTTCTGCCGAAGTAGCAAAGATCAAGTGTAGTATCTGTACTGATCAGTTCCAGATCTGATCCTCCGTGGTCCGTCGAACCGCAAAGGAAAAGTCTGTAAGGCTGGCTACCTTAGGTAGCATGGTGATCAACATGGTGATCAACATGCATGGTGATCGCGTTTTTAGCGTGGCAAATATGTGCATCAGCCTAGCGTACTTATGGAATCGCTAGTATATACTTCATTATTTACTATACTTAGTATGTACTATGTAGTATTTACATTAGACTTTCTTGCCTCAGCCTGACCGGGGGAGAACAGGTGCACTGCAGTAGTCTGAGGTCTTTGTCAGCATCCCGACAGTGAGCGTACTCAGGGTGTCGTTACGGAGACTGTGTGCTCTCTGCGAACATTGATGGGATGATTGGGATCCGGGTGGGGGGGGGGAGGAACACTCCTCTGTCCTTTGAGAAGACAGGAGAGGGAGGAGAAGAGGGTATGGTAGTGGTTCAAAATTTTTTTCTCTGTATAATTTTCATATATGGGACGCTGGGCCCGGGTTCCCAGCACGTGCTGCTCCCCACGAATATATTGGAGCTTTGTCCTTGTTCAAAAAAAAAAAAAAAAAAAAAAAAAGGGTAATGCCCAAGAAAGGTTTTGTGCTCGTCGGCGGTTCGGGCATGCTGTGTACTATTCTGTTCTGTGAGAGGTACTGGCCCCGAGTCTGGAAATTTCCCCTGAATACAACCTTCGGTCATTACATCCGTATTTGGGCCATTTTCCGGACTAGATACGGCGATAATGAGTATTAATGACCCCGTGCGTTTTTCTAGTTCTGGAGGAGGAGACGGTAGCGCAGCATGTTTCCGATTTGATTTCACATTCTCTCTCTCTCATCCTGTTCTGGGCTTCACAATCACTTGAGGTGTCCACCACCCCATGGTCGAGAGATAACGATGCTGGCAGCGAGGATAATAACCATGCTTGCAACGAGGATAATAACCATGCTTGCAACGAGGATAATAACCATGCTTGCTGGCAGCGAGGATAGCCATGCTGGCAGCGAGTATAATAACCATGCTAGCAGCGAGGATAATAACCATGCTTGCAGCGAGGATAACCATGCTGGCAGCGAAGATAACGATGCTGGCAGCGCCAGCGAGGAGCAGCAGAAGGTACTACTACCGGTAGGCCTCCCACTTCAATGCCGGAGCCTCCCAAACTTGCAGTCTTGGAGATGACATGCAGCAATCGGTGGATGAGGTAGTGAGGCGTCAACTGTGACCATGCTTGGCCATTGAGCGACCGGCGGTTACAGGGGAACGACGTTAGATACATGATGCTCGCCGCTGGCGCGCAACTTCACATGAAGGCTGCTGGCAAGTAAAAAATTCCAAATCCAGGCTCGCCCCTGACATGCCTGAGTGCCAGCAAGCTTGCGGGCTTGGAGATGACATGCAGGAAATGAAAGGTCCAGAGGAAATGCCGACCTCTCGACCTCTCGACCTCTCTACATCCAGCCTCGACCTCTCGACATCCAGCCTCGACCTCTCGACCTTCCATTTGTTAACTTACGAGTTAGGCGGCGTGACGACAGGTTATACAGGGAACGAGGTCCGATAGACGATGCTCGCCTCGGCCCTCAGGCGCACCTTCAGATGTAGGAGTTCAGATGAAGGATGTGAGCAAGTAAAAATCCAGGCTTGCCCCTGACATCAGTGGCATGCGTGAATTGCAACAAGTCGTGCGATCGATTCCTTCCCGCACACGATGGCTTCACTGTGCTTCTCTCCTCTTTCTGGCCACCAACCCATATGTGACTGAAGCCACTGAAACCACTGGCGCCTGCGAGGTTGATCAAATCGAGGGCCTTGAGAAGAAGACAAGCAAGGTGTCACGTGTAGGGTGATGAGGTACGGCTCCTGGAGTCAAGGCTCGTGCGCAGCGGAGATGGATGCAATGGTTAATGATGGACTGGGCAGCGGACCGAAGCTATGGTGAAGGTGGGCGGTAAAAGGGGGGGAAGAAGGAGGGTGGGCGGAAGGACAGCGGTCGTGCATTAGGTACTACCGTCGTCAGCTGAATAGAAAGCACGGCACGGTCAGCATTGCTGTACTTGGGGCAAATTTCAGTCCAGATACAGGCGATAATGACCGGGCGTTTTTATCCGGGTATAGAGATGATGGGCTAGAATGGGCCGTGCATTCGAGAGAGGTAGTGATGATGGACTATAACAGCAGGGATGATGGACTGTAGAATGGTGGGCGGATAGTCCAACGGGCCATACATTCGATAGGGAAGAGGTGGGCTACAGTCACTGTGGGCCATGGATTAGATAGGGACGATGGACTAGAATGCTGGGCAGATAGCCAGCGGGCTATGTGTTAGACAGGGAGGATGGACTATAGAATGGTGGGCAGATAGTCCAGTGGGCCATTCATTAGATAGTGAGGATGGACTACAGAATGGTGGGAAGATAGGCCGGCCGACCATGCTAGATGGACTAGTGCGCTGGGCAGATAGCAAGCGGGCTATGTGTTAGACAGCCTGAGGGAGGATGGACTATAGAGTGGTGGGCAGGTAGTCCAGCAGGCCGTGCGTTAGACAGGGAGGACGGACTATAGAAGGGTGGGAAGATAGCCCAGCGGACCGTGGGAGATGGACTAGAATGCTGGGCGTGTGTTAGACAGGGAGGATGGACTATAGAGTGGTGGGCAGATAGTTCAGCAGGCCGCGCATTAGACAGGGAGGACGGACTATAGAATGGTGGGAAGATAGGCCTGGGAAGATAGCCCAGCGGACCGTGGGAGATGGACTAGAATGCTGGGCATGTGTTAGACAGGGAGGATGGACCATAGAGTGGTGGGCAGATAGTCCAGCAGGCCACGCATTAGACAGGGAGGACGGACTATAGAATGGTGGGAAGATAGGCCTGGGAAGATAGCCCAGAGGACCGTGGGAGATGGACTAGAATGCTGGGCATGTGTTAGATAGGGAGGATGGACTATAGAGTGGTGGGCAGATAGTTCAGCAGGCCACGCATTAGACAGGGAGGACGGAGTCCGACGGATTATAGAATGGTGCGAAGGTAGGCCAGCGGACCATGCTAGATGCTCTAGAATGCTGGGCAGATAGGGAAGCGGATTATGTATTAGACAGGGAGGATGGACTATAGAATGGTGGGCAGATAGTCCAGCGGGTAATGTACTAGTCAGGGAGGGAGGACGGACTACACAATGGTGTGCACAATGGTGGGCAGATAGGCTAGCGGACCACGCTATTTAGAATAGCGATGATGTGTTATCTCACTCGCATGGCAACGCACGAGCACATAGCACCAAGGGACCCCGATGGATAGAAAAGGGGTTACTTACCCTAGAGCCAGGGTGAAGATGAATTTCAGAAACTGCGCCGACCTGGCCGATTCCAACATAGCATTCCCTCGTCCTCTCTCCTACCTACAGGCTATAGGTAGTATAGCCTATAGGCACCACCTATCGGAAAATTTTGAAGTCCCAGCGAGCCCAATAGAATAAATCATTGTTCTATAGCGATGGACTATAGAATGGTGGGAAGATTGCCCGGCGGGCTATGCATTATTAGATAGGGATGATGGACAAGAAAAAATATGGTGGGGAGATAGTCCAGCGAGGAGATCGAGTCTCATCGAGACTTCTTGCGTTTGAATTACTTTTTTTTTTTTTTTTTTTTTTTTTTAATGACAGTGAGTGACAATGTGACATTGCTTTGAATCTGCCTTTTCGGTTTTTTTTTTTTTTTTAATGTTTGAAACTTCCATGCAGATGGGATACTCTCACAGGCTCGAGTGCCCTCTGGGAAGAAACACGTCCGACGCTTTTTCCTTTTTTTTTTCTGTCGATCGTCTATGGTTGCCCTGACAAATAGTTTGTTTTCTACCCTTTCCCCCCTCACAGCTTTGACTTTGTTGTCGTTTGACTCTTCTCCCCACAGCTTTGACTTGTTGTCGTTGACTTTTTCTTTTTCTGTTTAACTCTATGTGGTGAGGGTTGGTGAGTGAGAGTTGATGGCACAGGCAGAAGCGAGGTTCGAGAAAGCCTCCTGAGGCAGATGGCCAGACGTCGAGGGAATGAAACCGGTTGGGAGGCTGGGGGGCCACTTTCCTAAAGTGTATTCTACTATTCTTTCTTCGTTTTTTTTGTTTTTTTTTTTGCCCCCTTTTTTTTTTCCTTTTCTCCTTTTTTGT